CTGCTGCCAACTAGTGGTAGATGTTTGAAATGCACCAAAATAAAATGAAATACACAAATATTTGCATGCAAATTATTCAAAAAAAAATTCAATATGCTGCTTTTTATTATTCAGATAATAATGCAGGAAAAATATCTCCATATATTGCCAAATCGATGTTTTCTTTCATCCCTCCCTACTGCATTGTGATGTCTTGTGTCTCTTATTTTATTGTCTTATTTTCTGCTGTCTTTTTGGTTTATCCTTTTCTCATTATCTGCATGTATTTTTGGTCTTGGTTTGGTCCCTCTGTCTCTTTAGAATAGTTCTTTGTTCTGAGACATTTTGTCATTATTAACCACTTTAATTTCTGCTTCTTTTGTTGGGATTTAGTCTCTTCATTTCTATCTTTTTTTGTATCTCATTTAGTTTGTTAAATATGCGTGTCTGGCACAAGAGTTAGGGGCCCCTTTACTGCTATGGGGTTCTTTGGATCTGTGCCTGGTAGACCGTTTCAATAATCTATGTGTTTTTAATTTATAGGTCAATGAAACAAATAACGTTCTCCTCCAGAAAAGGGCCACTTGGCTAAGCCTTTATGCCCCACAGTGGCATTATAATAGACCGTCTGTGTCCTTAAGGCATGCTTGATTTGCATCCACAAAGACCCAAGACTAGAAGCACATTATTCTGGGCATGGAGACAGTACAGCAACAATATAACTCATTCGTTTACAGTGCAGTTAATGGGTTGAAAATAACCACTGGCCTTTTTGCTCGCCCCTCAGGCAGATGTCTTTAAGCTTGTCTTTCTTCACAAGAGGAAAACAGCAGACCTTGAGAGTCGAATTTCACTCTTTGTCTTGTCAGAAACAAGGTAGAGGACTGGCGTTAAAAATGCCCAAATCACATCTGGAAAACTCGAGTTGTATTCCTTTGGGTGCTGTTAGTGGTGGATCTGTTTCCTGTGCTCTGTCCCATTCCAAAAAAGTGTTTCTGAAGACTTTAATTATAGCTGGTTATATAAAATTGAAGGTCCAAAGATATTTGCTTCGTTCTTGTTGTTGCCAACATTTCAAGTTTAGTTTATCTTTGTAACCTGACTAGATTATTGCAGTTGAGAGCCTCTTACTTTGTAGTCCGAGTCATAAAAACACCGGTCATGGATTGAATTTCCAGCCACAGAGATGAAACACATCAGGTCACTTCACTTGTTTAACAGCATTTGTATTTTTTTTCTTTCACGTTTGGATTTGTTTCTTGAGGGTATTAAAGAAGGAATCTGTGGGAGAGAGTTTATGTATGCTAGGAGACGCACGCACGCCTTCAGAAACAACATAACCTCGTAACAGTCAACCTCCCAAACGTCTGGTGAAAAGGCTGTGTCACTGATGAACATATAAAAAGTTTCAAAACCCACAAACACAACGCTACTTGAGTCAGTAAGACCCTGTGCTTCAAGAACAAAGACACTCCACACAATCGTTCAGTTGTGCCACTTGGCCATATATATATTCAGTTTTTTTCCAGTCACATAATCAAGTCAATACCGCAAACAAAATGAGCCCTAAATGTCCGTCTAAGAAAATTGAAGTCAATAGGAGCAGAAGTCTAGTATTATTTGTCCTTAATCCCCCAAATTATCTTGCACAAAAAATATACAAAAAGGCGATCGTTGCTAATAAGGAAAAAAAAAAGGGTGGTATCCCAGTAATAAATACCCCCCTCAAAACAGGCAGATCTCACCGGCTCCACTTGGGGCCGCAGCAGCGGGATGGGAGCTTTGTTGCTATCTCGCTCTCAGCTGCTTCTCTCTCCGAGTCGGGTCCAGCAGCTTTCCAGGTCCTGGAGGTGAGCTAGACGACAAGTGAAGGAGCCCTGTCGTCACGGCTCTCCAGCGCGATCCGTCCCCCTCTCTGGCTTTACCGGGCAGGTGACTCTGCTGTGGCCTCCGCGCTCCACACTGGCACCTCAGTCAACCCGACAGTTTGCTCGGCTTCAATCCTCAGGATCGATCCTCACGTTCTCTTAGAATTTCCTTAACTCAACATACTCAGGTAAATTTCTATGGGATGTTTGTAAATACATTTTATTAAAGGGTCACAACCTGAAGCATGTTTTTCTCATTTAGCGGTGGTGTTCTGTTTGGCTAAGAGAAGGCAACTCAAAATCCTCCTGGAACACTTTGTTCACGGTCGTCAAGGAGATTTGACGTTGAGGAATGATCCTGAGAGACAAAATGGATCATGGAAGATTACTTGGTTTGGTCTGCAGCTGGATCCATCCACTCATGTCCCTGGGCATTAGACTTCCCCCTCACAAAAGTTCAAAAATCAAGGCTGGGGTGCTGATGGTGGTTGGTGTAGGTTTACCAAGGTTGTGTTACAGCCAGGGGGAGGGTGTAGGTAAGTAGAGGAGGACAGGTGGAGGATGGCACTTCAAACGCAGCACACCCTGATAAAGAGGGTAGGGGAAAAGTGGAAGCTGATACTTCTACAAATGAGTTTTAAGGTGGAAAAAGCTGGAAAATATCTTGGACTCATTGTAATCCCCCATACCAGAAATATTTTAGCTTTGTGTGCATGACAATGCCAGAAAAGGTGTGTGGAATTCCATGTGGGAGTGTCGGCAGCTCGTCTCAGGCACGTGGCCCCAGCCTCTGTAGGACCCTGTCCTGCCAACATTTTGCTGACCTTTGGTGGCAGCTGCCCCAGCCATTTGCAAACAAAGACAAATGGCTAACTGGCCTGCCTGCAGAGTCTCTGCTGTTCCAGATAGCGAGCTGCTCTTCCTGTTTGCCTTTTCATAAATGTCCAAATGTACTTAAAGACTTAGGTCAGAGCCCTTTTTTTGGCTGGGATTCAGCTGTTTGAGATCCAGATACACCCTTTTCTTTTTGTATTGATTGTTTTCTGTCCTTTAATGAGGACATTTATTACAATAAGGCTTTTCATTCTTTAAAAAACCTGCGCTTTAAGAGTTTGGTTTGAATGCACCACCACAAAAGAAGAGGGTGTGTAAAACACTCTGAAGCAATAAATAGATGAACGCTGCAGCCAGCTACGTCTTTGCGGCACCACAGATTGGAGTCGGCAGAAGGAGGCCATCCGCCTGTTCTCTTCTCAGCCAGTTCATATGAACTAAAGCACACAGATAATCCTAAAGATGATATGTCTTTTTATTATTTTATGCCATTTCCTGTTAAATTTGACCTACCTAATTCAATAGTTTAAGCAGTTATTAAATGGTTTGACTTTGACAGAGTCCTGTGGCTAATTTTGTCTCCTTTGTGGCAGCGATGAAGAGCCACCATTACCCTTTCTTCCTCTTCTGTATCTCCTGACCTCTTTAATTTGCAGTTCAAGTCTCATTGTTGGGCAAGTCCACGGCATAAAACCTGAGGGCTCTTACCTTGTTGATTGTTGCCATCTTTTGCAAATTCAGCCAGCCTGATCAACACCTGAGCCAGTTAAAGCCTTGGGGCTAGCCTTTGTGCACACAAACTTCACAAAGTTGAGTAGTTTCCCTAAATCTGATCTCAGTATGCCAGATTAATAAATCTTCTTTTGACTCATTCTAAATACTTAGCTGGAATTTCAGTGGCTGTGTCAAATTTCAATGGGCAGAACATAGAAGGTGAAGAGGATTTATGGATGTTGGTTTCTCTTGTTACCAGTCTAGTTTAAGCTCTACCAGTCCAGTGGTGAAGAGGTGGGTGGATGTATGACATAGTTTGACTGTTTGTAGAAGTAGCCTTTAAGCTAGCACCACAAAATCATGAACATTGGGGAGGGAATTTCCAAAATGCTTATAAATAAAGCTGCAATGGCAATAAATAACATCAGCATGAAAAATACTCACTCAGGGCTCTGGGCGATAAATCAGAAATGTATCGTTATCGAAATTTGTGACTCTTATCGAGAAAAAAATTCCCATGTCAATAAATTTGATAATAAAAAAAATGAAAAGATGCGTGTAGGTTGGCAACATTCATGTCTCTTTAAGAAGCTGCGCCACCTTGAGTCACATAAAAATGACTCAACATTATACACGTGACAGCCCCATCTAGTGGACAACTTTTGTTTCTGCGCATACCTGTAATTATCGTCCATTTATCGTCATCAAGGTGAAATCCTCAATATATCGTGATATTGATTATAGGCCGTATCGGCCAGCCCTACTCAAACTGTATTTAGATGTCTGACTTTAATACTGAGCAGAGCAAAGTTAAGATTTAACACTTAGTTAAATTTTTGTCAGGGCAAATGCTCATTTTAATTTGCAGTGAAGGCTACTTTTATTTGCCCAACTTTAAATAGTGAGAATACGTACACAGAACTAAATGATCCTAGCCTTTATGACAACGGTCTCATTTAGCTGTGTCCTCCAGCTTTCTTCATGTGGGGAAATACATTTTTTCCTCTTTGTTTAGTCTCGTCCTACCTGTTACCTTAAAGAGCAAGTCACCCCCTACCAAAGTCTAACTCCATTCCAGTTTCCTGTTTGAAAAATGCGCCACGAGGAGGTGTTGCCTGGCAGACTGAGAGGGCGGAGCCGCTAACAAATACACACAGGCTCACGGCAGCATTGTGACATCATAATGTACCAGCTAACATCATAGGGTACCTCTTAGCCGATAGTGATGGCAGATTTAAACTCAAATGCAGTGCAGTTTTTAATTGAAGAGAGGGTAACACTGACAGTTTTAAGCAGAATATTTAAATTTCTACTAAGATGCACTAAAGTGCCAAATTATTGACTACACGTGTCTACAACACGATTAGACACTCATTTATACAGTTTATCAGTTAAAAAAAAGTTGATTTGGGGGTGACTTGCTCTTTAAGCAGGAGCCTACAGCCATTCTCATATGTCTATCAAGGGAACTATATATGAATGTGTGTGTGTGTGTGTGTGTGTGTGTGTGTTATATATATATACAGTATATATATATATATATATATATATATATATATATATATATACCATCACTGATCTCTACAGTGTACACTTACTTTATTCTCTATTTGATTTCAAACTTCTTAAGATTTTACATTTCTTGTTCCTCTGACTCGTGGAAATTAAATTAAGAATAAATCGGAACAGGTTGATAATGCACACTCTGCAACTATTTTCAGAGGCAATTTGTTTTGACAACATTTTGAACTTGATGCTGTTTGTTGGCACTATTGGCTCAGATTTATAGGATTGAAGATTGATCATCAGGCTGTGTTGAGTGTACTCTGTCCACTGATCTCTAGAGTAAGGGACCAACTTCCCACAATCCTGCACAAGAAAAACAGGTCAAGAAAACAAATGAGTAGATGTTAACAACAAGCAACACAAGTGTGGGGCCTTGTGAGCTGTATCTAGGAAACAAAGAACTCTTTGCTGACATTTTAAGACATTTTAGAAATGTTATTGCGGTCACAACTCTGTGAGATATATGATAAAGTGTGAGAAGTTCAACACAACTTTAGAAGGGGTGGAAAAAACTTGTCACAGCCCAGTGAGATACCAGCTTTAGAGTCAGAATAATGGCTCTTTGACTCACAGATGACACCGAATGCTTAAGGCAAGCTGGGGTGCTTCAGAAAGCAGCATTAAGAGCACACAAAGTGCTAAGTCAGAGGAAACATCCATGTGATGTCTGGCAGCAACAGCTGCTTTATAGAAAGAGCATTATAGACTTAAGGTGATGCATGAGCTGCCTGGTAAGAATTATTACTATGTGCCGATGGAGGTGGTGAATTTATATCCTACTCCCTGGATTGCTTTCACATACTTTACGTCCTCAGCTGAAGTAAATGAAATGGTCAGTGCTTTGCAGCAGATGATGGCCACGTTTTTTTTTTTTTTTTTGAGTTTTTTTTGGATAAACATTAGCCCAACCACAGCCATCGTGTTCATCCTTTTTGCTTTACATCTGAGTAGAGTTCACTCCCTTCTCATGAAACCACAGCAGCGTTTCGAGCATCTGTGTGCTCGTGTGTGTGATTTGTTTGCTTGACTTTTTGGCAGTCTCTCAGGGCCCATACAGTAGATGACATTTTGCCATGGATTCGAGTTTGAGAAAGAAACACAAATACAAACAAATGAAATGACACCGTTTCCTCTCACCCCACTGTGAAATGCCTGCCTCTTGACTCAAAAGTGTTTTGGGTGACCTCGGTTCAGAACAGCTCGTACAGTTGCTTTGCAATTGTTGACCTCAGGGTTTCATTCCAGTAAAATCCTCTGAGGGTTCAGCTTATTGACTTTTTGGAAAATCAACAATAGCAACATTCTAGGACTTTTCACATAAAACAAAAGCTGCAGTCTCAGCAGTTGTTGTTATTTTGTGTTGTCCCCCTTTGGGTTTAATGTTTATGGCAACACTTTAAAGCTCTCAGGATCAATAAAGTTTGTCTGTCTGTCTGTATCTATATCTGGTAGAAGCTTGTTGAGGTGTATGGGTGGAAAACGACAGATTTGGAGTCTTACTCATTATGGGCTCGACACACGGGAGGTGACATCGCCTCTCCTCCATTCATTTTCAATGAGACATGCGCGACAAAGCGACAATCGCGGGTCTCCCTCCTACCAAGCGAAACGCGAAAAACGTGCGTGTGAAATTTTGCGCTCGTGCACGTGTCGTGCACAGGCGACCCAGCGAAGCGATCCCAGAAAGTTGAAATATTTTCAATTTTCGTTGCCGTCGCTCGGACGAGGACCAATCAACGGAGGTTTCATTCACTGACCAATGAGCGGACAGGACGCTCCGTACATCTCTGAGCAAACATGGAGAAGTTGATTATTATTATGTTTTATAAAGTAAAATCACAAGTAAGATTTCACATAACTCTAGCAGCACCTTGTGAAACATCATATCTACCACTTTTTAAACTCTGAGCCGCTAAATAACCTTAATTCCCTCCAACCTGACACAGCCAAGCAAAACAATGGAAGTTTCGATTTCTCCATGGAACAGAACGCGCAGACGGCTTTGCCGCTGCCACGGATCGCCTCCCGTGTGTCAGGTAATAAAAGCGACAGCGACGAATTTCACTGATCGCGATCGTTTGTCGCCTCCCGTGTGTCGAGCCCATTAGTATTCATAATATGCAAACATCTCACCTCTGATTGGCTAACAGCAATGTAACTCATCCGCTGCCTTTGTTCGCTCGTCTTGGGTGAAAAAAAAATGCAACGTTGATGCATTACCCCACAAATAACACATGCCTAACTGTATTCTGCCATGTTTTGGATTTGCTAATGGTTAGCTTCTACTAGCTGAGATGCATTCTGCCCTCGTCTTTCTGTGGTTGCAAATTAAAGTGGGCGGGGCCATGAATACAGATTTCTGTGGGACATGGAAGAGACTGGCTTTTTTTGACCTGATCGTTTTTCTATTTCCTCTTTGCAACTTGTGCAGGCGATGGAGGTTGACGAAAACACTCAGCAATGCATGTGCTTCCCAGAGTGACGTCATATTTCAAAAACATCAAATATGACACGATTTCTCAGTGAACGAGACCTTTAGGTTTTATATAGAGTTCAAAGGTTTCCACCAAAGACATAAACAGGATTTTAAAAAAGCATGTTGGTGACATTTAGAACCTTTTTCTGACTTGGATCTAAAAATACAAACCCACGTACAGGTTAACCTTTCAAGTTGTAACTCCAAAACGGAATTTCTCTTCAACAGCAAGCATGTATACGCTGAAAGCAAAATCTGGTGCACTCATACATTATTGAAGTCTTCCAACTGTTTCAAGTGTTTCTGTGTTTAGTTCAAGCCACAAAGTTGCACTAATCCAAAAACAGAGCTTGAAAAGTCTCGTTTTGTGATTAAAAATGCACTGTAGCCCACTTTCCCTCCTCCCAGACATTCTAGCTGCTCTCCTTTCCACAAGCGGGAACGTTACCCCAGCTCATGTCTTCTACAGGCAGTATTTAAGCGGGCAGTGAAACCACGAGTAACTGAAACGTGAATGATTGGAAAGCGGCCTGCTCGCTGCTGAAAGCCACGAGGCTCAGCTTGCATTGCCATTCAACCATTGATGACCCCGGACTGAAAAAGCTTAGAACAAGATTTTGGAAAGCAAGAGGAACACCTGTTAGAACGTAAAATGTGAAATAGTTTTGTTTGGAAATACAATTACATGAAAGTTCCTGAGAAACTGTTGAAAATGACGTCATATGAAATATGGCAACTTGGAAACTCTGAGGTTCTTCATTTTCCTCACGTCCTCTGCCAAAGTCTGGAGGTCGCTCTTTTTCACACGCCTCTTGTTAGCACTCTGCATTTACTGTGACATCCCGGTGTTGGCAGGCATATCCAGTATGCCTGTTACGTCAGGGTTTATCGAGGACACTGAAGGAAACTAGAGTTTCTCTGCATTGACCTACAATGCGGAAAGAATCCAGCCAATAAAGACGGCCGTGCTGCCAGCAGTAGAAGTAGATTGGCACATTTTTGCAACCGAATCCCATGACAGTAACTCAAACCTACAAGCTTAATCTCATGAAGTAGTGTGTGCGCACGTGTGACTGCCTCCCCCAAATCTCATTGACTAATACCCCGGTCAGCTCTGAAAGGGACTGCATGGTTCTATTGACCGAGATTTTGGGTTAAGTTCTTAGCTGAGTAGCTTCCTAATCTCTCTCTGCGTGGCTGATCCTCGCTCTCTAGTGATTCAGATTATGTTGGCCTCAAAGACAAGTCCACTCCCTGAGTAAATAATGACCTGCCCCCCTTCTCTCTGGTACAATGACTGCCTTTGAAGCCAAGGCCGGGGTCACTGTTACATTTTTAGTTCACCAATTTGACCCTCTCCCTGCTGGTGGTAACTCCCGTCAAGAGATTATTGGAATGAAGTAGTAGAAAAGATGAGTGAGATTGCTGTTCTTAATCTGATCAGCTCTTCTCAGGCTATGCTAATGATAAGGTTTGAGAGGGCCTGTTTTTTTCTTGTATTTATTCTTTCACAATTTTTAAATTTCATGTGCTGAAGTGAGTTTCTGTAGAGGTTTAATAAACAAATAATAACCAACATGTTGCAGAAAGCTCTTAGAACATCCTCACTTTGGAAAATAGAGTTTTGGTCTGGCTAATTGACAGAAATGACATATTAGTCTCTAGAGTTGTCACTACTTTGACTTTAGACCATTGACTCAAGAACACACACCTGGACTAGAGCCCAACTTGAAATGGTTTCTCACACAGGGTTAAAACAAAAAATAAATATATTTACTGTGGATTACCTGTTCTTTAAAAATGCCATGGTTCCTCATCTATTAGTATTCCAAGCTATTGTCTCGAAATAAATCCAATCCTAAAAAATGTATTACAATTGATTCTACTATAATTTTTCACATAGCATTGTTATTCCTGCAAAACCTTTATGACAGGAAATGCTCCATGCTACTAACAAAGTGCTACAGCTAGTTATTGGTCCTGCTACCTGTGCTTTTACTAATTAACCCATGTCTATAATTGTTTCTATTAATTACAATGGCAAATCTGAAAAACAAGAATTTTTTTTCAATCCTCTTTACAACAATCTAACATAGTATAGCTATAAAAATATTGTGTTGATCAAAAAATATTAATGAAGTGGTTCTCTTGCATTAGTCTAAAACCCTTAGCCAATAACATGGGTCAGTCTGAAACCAACGATTGGACCCTCCGGTTGTTGGTCTCATCGAACCACTGCACTTGCGCATTTGTCTAGGTTTTCCCCTCATTGCTTGCTTGCATATTTAGCAACAGAACACCACTGGTGTGTCGGAGAAGGAGAAACAGCTGGCTTCTACCACTTCAGGACACTTTTGGGCAAACTAGAGTTCCAAAAAGAAAACCGCCATTTCAAGTCACTGACATCAAAAGACGTTTGGACCTAGAAAATGGTGATTGGTGCACTCTCGTTTCCTCTGGCATTGAGGGTTCTGGTTTTGGTTCAGGGGTGGGAGCTCTGTGATCATGTTTGTGTTTAAAAGCTAGTTGTTTTGTAGAATTGCCATTTCAGCTTTAAATATGTTTGCTTGCAATGCTCTAAAATTTTTGTAACAGGAGTTGTTTTAAGAATCCAAAAATTGTCATTGGCTGTAGCCTTACTTGAACTAGTCATTGTCTTGTCAGTGCAGTTAAAACTAACTCTGTTTCCCCAAACTGAGGTTCAACAGGTACAGAGTGATCTATATAAAAATTTCCACAGAAATGTTATTAAAATTATCTGCACTTTAACAGAAAGTCATGCACAAGTGGTTCATCAGAAAGAAACAGATCCTAATATAAAAGCCTAAAGGGGGCGTGGCATCCTGTAACTCTACTGTATGCGTGTTATTAGCAATAAACCCAACCACCAGCTCGCCAGCCAATGGGACTCCCATTAGATCCCAGTGGCCATCGTGGGAACATTCCTGACACAGCATTATTCCATAATTCCCACCATGTGTGGTTTTCCAGAGGCGAATGCTCGCTGCACTGAGTGTGTAGAATCCCACTGAGACGAGAAGATGATCTCCTTGTAATCACAACCAGACCAGAGTCTGTTTGAGTGAGAACAGCTGAAGGTACATAATAATGGACGTTTGTGTTGGTAAGTCATGAAACGAGGAGGCTGTGAGTTTTGTTCAGCAACGACACTTGCCTTTCATATGGTTAGACTTTATGTTAAGATTGTAGACTTATATAAATATGTTCACACCATATGTGTGCTTATTGATTGTTCTTTACATATTAGACAGGTTAGCCATTATGGGTCAAGGGTCAAATGATATTGCTTAAACTGTTATACTTGGGTTTTACGGGCTTTGATAAAAAAAAATCTACTTTTTAAATAATGTACTTCTCATAAGTAAGCTTTTAATTTTTTGCCTGAAATAAGGTTACGAGTGCTGTTTCTTTAAGGCCTGCTGAAAAGCTCATTTTGTTTTTCTCTGATGAGCCGAATGCTTGAAGAAAACAGGGTGAAACACAGTCACACAAGTACTGTGCAAACAGCTAATTGTGCTCTCGCCTTGTTGTATATTTTATATTACAAATAATTCTAAAACGGAAAATTTGAGTGCAATTTGAGACAAATGGAGATGATTTTCATATATGACATTAAGAATGTCTGTTAGTGATTTTTGTATTGAACCGATGCAGAGGTCAGGCATCCAGCTGAGCGAGAATAGAAGCAGCTGGTCAATACTAATGTGTCTTCCCAGCGAGGACAGGCTTTTGTAGAGAAGCTTCAATCAGCTGAGTGATGGTTTACTTTGGTGCCCTTCCAAGAACTCCCAGGGTCACCACTGAGGCCAATATGTGTACTCATCTGAAATTGTGTACTCGCTTACTTGTGAAACGTCAATGCTGGCCCAAGTACTGTTCCAGTCCCAAGTACGTATCACGGCAAGTTCGCTCAAATTTCCTGGATGTGTTCTTGCTTCGCCCATTGATGCGTCCTTCTGCTGACTTGGGACAACAAGATATCCCATAATGCATTGTGTCACAAACTGTTGCACTTTGAACAGTAGCCTTAAATAGCTCTGACTGAACTCTAAATTCATACTTAACTTTAAAATTATGAATTTAGGAATAAAACTTGTTTATGGAATATTATTTTTTAATAATCATTAACATAGATTAGCGTTCCACTTTTGGTTCTTTTTTAAAACACAGGAAAGGTTTCTCTTTACCTTGCTAATGTTTCGTTTGCCGATTGCAAAACATCCTTCCTGCTCCGTTTATCTGCGGAAGTGACGCCACCATCAGCGTCAGCTCTGAGGATGTTTTGCAGTCGGCAAACGAAACGTCAGCAAGGTAAAGAGAAACCTTTCCTGTGTTAGAAACTAGACACAATAAGAACACACCAAAGATAGATTAGCGTGCTTAATACCTGACAATATTGAGTTCGTAGATGTTAGCGATGCTAGCCAATCATCATTCATGCAAGAAATTGGCCGGTTTAGATCACAAGTCAAATTTATTTTCTTTTATCTTGGTTCAACTCTATTTATTTAGGAAAATAAATATTGGTAAATTTGAACTAAGTGCTGCATCTTAGTCTCGTCTACACTAGTGCTCAGTCCTGAAGGATTTGCAAGCTAGTTCTGCAAACTGAGGCTGTTCAGGAATCTATAATTAATGGTAGAAGTTGTAACTACATAGAAACACCTCATTGCAGCCAAAAGAAATATCTCCTATACATTATTTTGAACCTTGACCTTTGTGCTTTTTCTTTTACAATCATAGCCAAGAATTCCCACAATCCTTTGGGAGTCACATAGAAACTTTTGACTCCAGAATGTTCATGTAGCCATGTCTGCCTGCTTGTTTGTTTTCTGTACTTCCTCCTCTACAATCCTGTCTTTATTTCCCGCTATGACATCATCGTCATCGCCCCTGGTCGCTCAGCACTTGGCCCTTCTTCCCACTTCCTGCTTAGACAGGAAGTGAGCCGCCCCAAAGGAGGACTTTAAACGAACAAGGACACACCTGTGTCCACTACACTGGAGCCTGTGTTTTCCCTTGGTCTGTTGTTGAAGTGGGGCAGCGATGTAGGCCACATGAGAACCGTCACACTCACGCCTTTAGGGGCACTTTTACGAAAGATGGTTAGTATTTTAACTACAGAGCTGACATAAGGGGTTTGTGTTGCACTGATCTTAGAACAGCTGCTCACTCTTTATCTATGTGCATGCATGTGTGTGTGTGTGTGTGTTGCAGGCACGCCTTTGTTTTCAGCACCGGAGCAGCTGCTGACCGGGCCCCTGCGCTGTTGTGACTAAAGCAACTGTGCTCCGTGCAGCTGCACAGACCCATTGGTCACTGCCACACCTGTTCAATAGCCTTGTGTTGACTGAGTGATGTCACACATTAACCGTGTGCAAAATTACAACATAGAGATGACGCAGCCTGTAATCTAAGTGGGCAATTATGTTTATTTTAATGACACATGAAAGGATGTCCTTACACCACCTCTCGGTCACTTGTTAAGAAGTCTTGCTTGCTGTAAACACGCACTAGGTTTGTTTTTTTTCTGCCCCGAAAGGCGTCACATGCTCAGGCTGAACAGTTGGTGTGAAGAAAAACGAAAGGAGCAGCTGAAAGTAGCTCGTATAGCTTTTCTGTAGTTAGCCACAGCATCAGCTGCCTAACTCTCTCTCACACACACACACACACACACACACACACACACACACACACACACACACACACACACACACACACACACACACACACACACACACACTCACACAACCAAATCATAGTAGTATGTCCTCTGCCAGCTCAACAAGCACATGAGCCAAAGTCATGTTTTACACTCAGACTCTGATTCAGCATGTATGGTCTCAGATACATGACTCAGCACTTTTGTGAATGAGTTTACAGTTTACGTAAATGTTTAAAGTCGTTAAACCGTGCAGACTTGTGAGTCACGTAAGAGTTTTCATGGCTCGCGCTCTGACTCACGTTTGAAATGAGCCTGTTGCCACTCTTATTACTGCGTGTTTGCTTTGTGGTGAAAAGCAAGTCCCGGCTGTCGAACTGTCCTAATGCTGAGGAGAGTTCATAATGAAGGCTGAGCAGTGCTTGATTGCTTTCTGAGTGTCTGTCTGTCATTTTGTCTGTGCTTAGTTAAGTCCCTTGCTCAAGCACCCTTCATAGTTAATCCTCTGCATTCTCGTGACAGTGGAGTCGCTCTGTTCTGCTTCAGCTGCTCCGTTCTTCTGCAGTGCACATAGATAAAGTTGCTAAAGACGGGAAACAGAAGCTGAAGCATGTTTTTTTTTTGTTCATCTAGGGAATAAAAAGCTGTCCGTGGAGTGGTGGTTCTGTTTGACCTTTAACCTCAACAGGAAGAAGGAAAAGCCACTTCAGAGGTAAGACTTCTTGTAAGCTTAGTGAGTAAGTGTTTTGGGGGAATATTGAGCCTGTTGCCAGTAATCTCTGTGTTATTCACACCTCCTTGTACAAATGCCACACGTGTTCCATGGAGGCTCAGTTTTAGGTGGTCACAAATGCTCAAACCATGGATGGTGGTTTACAGTAAGGATTTGTGTTGTTTGTTGCTGGTGGAGCATCGCGGTGAAAATGTTTTATCCCCCCCCAAAATAATCCTCGATTAAGAAAACCTCATAAATCAAAGCCAAGTGAGAGAAGCCAAGTATCAGGGGGACAGTCTTCCTTGCTGGAGGAGATCATTCTTGACTTAAGTGGAACCATGTGAGGGTGAATCTTAGCTGTGGTTCTGATGCTCCTTAAAGTTCCGTCTCTGTTTCGTCACGTTTGTGTGTCGTGTTCCGTTGTGAAAAATGTTCCGCTTGGTTTCAGACGGGAAGAAATTCCTGATTTGGTTTTTCCAGCTTGTAGCAGAAGGTAAAAATAGCTACTTTTATAAACGGAAGCAAAACTGAAAACACAAAAATACTCTTTTACCTTTTTTTGTTTAGAGAAAAGAAACAGAATCAAAAGTCCTGCTTTGGTTGGCTTTTGTGGATTTTTATTTACTAGAGATAAAGACGTCTCCTTGAAAAAACGGTTCATATATGAGGCACTTTGTTTTAATGAGCCTTTTTCAACCTTACAGTAAACTGAAATATAACTTCCCTTTAAACCCTTTCACAATAAGAGCCCCAACAATAAGATGTTGAGATGATATCCAGTAACCAAATATAATGGCAAAGTTATTTGTAATAGACAATTTTCACCAAAGTTAATGCATTGTACTACTTATATATTTTCTGAATAATATTTTCAGTTTAAGCTTGCATCTGTTTTTGCTTTCATCAGTAGTTATTTTCCGATGTTTGTGTAATTTAACCAGTAATATTTGGGGTAGTAAGCCCTTTGACATTATATTTTTGTGGGACAGATGCAAGAGTTGTTTGATAATCACTGATGTAAATGTCTGTTCTTGATTGGGCCCTTTGGCCAGTTGCTGAAGTTACACTCGCGAAGCGTAGTGCACAGCTATCAGCTGCCTAGTGGATGGTGCGTTTCCACCAAGGGGCCATTATGCTAATTTTATTAAGCCAAGAAGGAGTGGCTAAAATTGCTGTTCCACCCTCATCCGCTAGGTGCTGGCACCAAAACAGAGATGGGCACAAATCCCCTCTTGTCTCTCAGCCAGGAGCAGCTGCTACGCACAGGTGGCCATAGGCTCCCGTCTTCTGAGGGGTCTGAGACGTGCCGCACATCTGCCTGGCTTCCATGCTAGGTTTTAGCTCAACTGTGGAGCTCTCTGATGGAATTTTCAGGAACACAACTGCTCTTTGAGTTGATTTTGGAGTCGCTTTACCGCGTTTGTCTTTCTAATAGCACCTGACAAACCTCCATTAGCTTGAGTTAGCATGTAGCTAATCTCCCGCTGATCTTCGACCAAAGCAGACCATGACCTTATGTAAACGGGCAGGGCGCCTGGCACCGATCGCAGCAGTCTGAGGCTCTGTTTGTATTTTAACAGTCCATATTAGAGCTCTACAAGCTACCAGTCTCACACGGAAGCCAGGTGGCCGTGTGGGTGGGCTAACCCGAAGCTCATCCTTAGCTTCTTGGGTAAGCTAGTGGCTACATTGGTTCATTTAGTTCCAACCCTGTTACAAACGTAATAGCCCCACCCTCAGCCCCACCTCTTTTTCCATTTCTGGATTGTCTGGGTGTGACGAGACCTGTGACACAGCCAAAGTGGCGGTGGTGGGAACCTCCCATTTGACTTCAAACCTGCCCCCCACAGAGCAATGGGCAGGGCATCCTTTTTATATGTCGATGGTTTCCACAGGCTGTGAAGTGTTAGGTTTTGGATGCATACCAGAAGCATATTTATTTATTGCACCACTAATTTTATGCTTTAAGTCTATTTTTCGGTGCTTTGCATCCAGAACACATCAAGCTCTGCAGCTCAGACAGATAAACATGCACTGTTAAACCTCTGTAACTGAGGTGAAGGGGGAAAAAACCACAAAGCATTGTTGTGGATACATGCTTCCATCTTTCTCCTTGCTTATCAGATGAAATGTCGAAATCATTCGTAATCCTAGAAATCTCCGTTGATTTTGTGACCTCGTTGGACCAAATACTTAAAGCTTTCACTGCCGTTTCTCATCTGAAATGCTCCTGGTGGGAAGGGATGCTCCACTGGAATTGTGAGGAAAATGTGTTCATTATGTTCCGCGCTACTTACACATCTGGTGGAAAGACCGGGCAGCAGTCTCGATGCTAGTTTGCATCACGTTGTCGTCCTGCAGACTATCAGCCTGCATGTAGCCAGGTGCAAAAAGGAGGAAGTCTGCTGCAGGACATAAACTGTTCCAGGAAGTGGGGAAACTTGGGTCAAACAGGTTTTAACAGCTAGTACCTGAGTGTGACGGTGTGTGTTTCAGTGTCACACTTCATCACATGAAGACACACACCAACAATACTGTTCAGCTATTGGTCTCATCCAACCTAAACACAAGTATGCTCTTAACATGCAGTTCATCCATGTCAAACTCGTTATAGCAACTGCTTTATTCCGTAAAAGCCTGCCGTTGAAACGATCTCTCCATGCCGTTCTGGAGCCCTGTGGGGGTTTAATATTAAAGCATGTGATCGTGTGTGTCTTTGGTGTAATGGGAATGCTGGAGGTGGGGTGGCAGGAAACATGCTGGCCTATTTTCTGTCTGAGACGCAAAAACACACACTAGCTGTAGGGGACGTGGACAGAAGGAGAGAGTGAGAGCGAGATATGTTAGTAAGCAAACAGAGGAAGACCTCCCCAGCTGCTAGAGGTGTTTGTTTTTATACGTGTATTTTTCTTTTTTTACAGTTTGTCCATATGAATGTGTTGTTCTGTTGTTGCTCACAATATGTTGCGCCTTCTCCTTCTTGTGTTTACAGCTGCAGCAAAAAGTCTGAGCCATATGTCCGAGTCCTACATGCATTTTAACGAACATAGATTTGATCCAAAATAATAACGTACATCTATAAATCCATCTGGAACCGCTACGGTCCTTCTGGGTTCCGAACAAGTCCCGTTAGCATGACTGCAGCAGCACTGCTGACTGTATTTATTTTATGTATTTAGTCAGGATTAGTCGTTACCATGATAACAAAATGTATACATATGCCGACAATTTAATAAGCAGAAGCTCATTTAGCTCCGGTAAGGAAAAAGCAAGTAATGTGTGAAAACTACGACACACACACATATATATGATCTAAAAGATGATCCACATATTTCAACAATAGATCATCCTGAGTCCGGTAGAACCTCAGTGCCATCCTGGATTACCTCGAACAACAACTAGCTAGCGAGCTACTGCAGCATCCCAGTCCAAGAGCATCTGGCTGCAGACATCAGCTGGCGTCTTTGCCGTGACAGGAAATGACGTATCCGGAAAAAAGTGTCATTGCCTTCGCCGGAAGTCATTGCCTTTGCCGGAAGTAGTTTTTTTTTCTTGAATACGCTTTATTGACAAAGCACAAAAGTAGTTTGAATTTGTCAAAACCATACCGTGTCGTTTTTCTCTTCGATTTGTACATATTTAAGAGAAAAATTACACGGTGGGTCATTACCTTAACCAGAAGTCATTACTTTCACTGGAAGTAGTTTTTTAAAAAACAAAACTTACCGTAAAAAGCTTTTTATTTCGGATTTTTTTTTTCTCTTCAGATCTGGACTGGCAAACTTAAGTAACGTTGTAACCTGCGTTGCATGAAAATTGAATATTAAATCCCTTTGTTCTTCAGACAGGGAATTTTTATGACAATAGCACATACATACATACATACACACACATATATATATATATATATATATGTATATATACACACACACATATGTATATATACACACACAATAAAAGGCTGTAAAGTGAATTAAAAAAACATATGGAAAAAATGAGAACACATTAAACTAAGACTTTTCAAAATGTGCAAACAAAATAGTACTGGCTAAATATTCAGTTTTATTGTTAAGCCCAAGATGAACTTTTGACCTACACCAATTGCTAAAGTACAGGACTCCCAGAAGCAGTGAAAAACATTTCAGCAACACTCCTCTCTCACCAGCAACAAAAATTAGTTATTAAATATCCATAACACTGTCCTACTGTGTATCACAGCAGCTCATTGCAACAGAATTTAACTACTACAGCTGATAACTATTTAGCTAGTTGGTATTTATTTTGAGTGAAAGACAATAAAACCAAAGAAACACTTAATTTCACAACCATTTTATTTTGGGTACAAATGAATTTGCTGAAGCATGGCTTTCTCAACTGCATATCGATTCATCCCCTCCCATTTTTCCAACACTTTTATTGTTACCTGAAAAACATGCAGGATTACTTCATCGTTGTCATCTTCCTCTGCTTATCCGGGTCCGGGTCGCGGGGGCAGCATCCCAACTAGGGAGCTCCAGACCGTCCTCTCCCCGGCCTTGTCCACCAGCTCCTCCGGCAGGACCCCAAGGCGTTCCCGGACCAGATTGGAGATGTAACCTCTCCAACGTGTCCTGGGTCGACCCGGGGGCCTCCTGCCGGCAGAACCTGCCCGAAACACCTCCCCGGGGAGGCGTCCAGGAGGCATCCTGACCAGATGCCCAAACCACCTCAACTAGCTCCTTTCGATCCAGAGAAGCAGCGGTTCTACTCCGAGTCCCTCCCGGATGTCCGAGCTCCTCACCCTATCTCTAAGGCTGAGCCCGGCCACCCTACGGAGGAAACTCATTTTAGCCGCTTGTATCCGCGATCTCGTTCTTTCGGTCATTACCCAAAGCTCATGACCATAGATGAGGATTGGGACGTAGATCGACCAGTAAATCGAGAGCCTGGCTTTCTGGCTCAGCTCCCTCTTCACCACGACAGATCGGCGTCCGCATCACTGCAGACGCCGAACCAAT